CACTTGGCTTTCAAAGAGCTTGTATCAGATCACACTCTCACCATCAGTATTGTATACCCCTCACATCCTTTCCAGGTTTGCATCAAAGTTTGCATCAAAACTTTTGATCTTTTATTTTTTTTATTTTTATTTTTTAAAGATTTTATTTATTTATTTGTCAGAGAGAGAGAGAGGGAGAGAGAGCAAGCACAGGCAGACAGAATGGCAGGCAGAGGCAGAGGGAGAAGCAGGCTCCCTGATGAGCAAGGAGCCCGATGTGGGACTCGATCCCAGGACGCTGGGATCATGACCTGAGCCGAAGGCAGCTGCTTAACCAACTGAGCCACCCAGGCATCCCAAAACTTTTGATCTTTTAGTCTGAAAACTAGAAAATGGTATTACATTGTGGCTTTCATTTATTTGAAGTAGCACCTTTTTTAATTTAAAAGCCATGTGGATTTCTTATGTTCTTGCCATTCCCTTCCTTTACCCACTTCTATGGTCTCTCTGATTGGTACACATGAGATCTATAAAAGGCAGTAATTCTTGTTATTTGTGCTGAAAATACAAAATACCTTTTCCCTCTTTGTCCTTTAGCCTTGTTAATAAAATGTTCCAAATTTTTCGTTATGCTATAATTATTACCTTTACTAATCTCTTCTATTATGGTTTCTGTATTTTAACAAAATCTTGCTCAGGAAACCTTCCTCACTCTGAGACTATAAAAACTATTACTCCATTTTCTTTTAATAGTTTTGTGCTTTTGTTTTTTCATTAAAAATCTTGATTCTAGGGGCCCCTGGGTAGCTCAGTCTGTTGAGCATCTGCCTTTGGCTCAGGTCATGATCCTAGGGTCCTGGGATAGAGCCCAGCATTCTCCCTCTCCCACTCTCCCTGCTTGTATTCCCACTTTCATTGTCTTTCTGTCAAATAAATAAATCTTTAAAAAAAAAAAAAAAAAAGGCTCCACACACAGCATGGAGCCTAATGCCAGGCTTGAACTCATGACCCTCAGATCAAGACCTGAGCTGAGCTGGAGTCAGACGCTTAACCAACTGAGCCATCCAGGTGCCCTTTGATGAGGATTTTACATGAAATATCTAGGAAATAGGGGTATTTGGGTGGCTCAGTGGGTTAAGCCTCTACCTTCGGCTCAGGTCATGATCTCAGGGTCCCGGGATGGAGCCTCTCTGCACAGCAGGGAGCCTGCTTCCCCTTCTATCTCTGCCTGCCTCTCTGCCTACTTGTGATCTCTCACTCTCTGTCGAATAAAAAAAATTAAAAAAAAAATCCAGGAAATAATTATCACAAAATGATTATAGTCAATTTCCTCAGACATGTAAATTTTACTTGTAACTGCCACCTGCTACATTCACGGCAACAGTTTTGAATTCTGCAGCGCTCAACTACCCCACACTAAGTTCAAACAGGAATTGCTTATAAACATTTTATCATAACATAGTGATTGACAATTGAGTTAAAAAGTCTAGGTTTTCAGGATGTCTTATACATGAATGCTATTTTATATCCATAAGATATTCTATATTGGTTCAGATTGAACAATTCCACTGAGAAATAGACTTATCTTTAATAGGCTGAAATAGGAACTAGTATTAAAGTACTACACACTAAACTGAGGGCCACAGATGTTTCCAATTGATTTTCTCATTTGGAAGGAAACCTAAACTTTATTTCCTTTGAAAGTACAGCCTTCTCAAAAAAAAAAAAAATTTTTTTTTTTTACTATCAATTGGATTTTTTAGAAAAAATTTAAAAAATTCTGAGTAGGTAAAGTAATTCTAATTAATTATTACATATATTCACAAAGGATTATTCATAATATTCATAAAGGAATAATTCAAATACATTTCCTAATATGAAGGGGGGTAAGTATAGGGAGCTAGATGCCACAGAAACACCTAGCTGGTGGGCCTTACATTGTCTAGGAAGCCAGAAGTCTGGAGGAAATGTTTAAGTTGAAACCTAAGGGACGGGAAGAACTAGACAGGCAAATGAGGTCACTTGGCTGAGATTTGAAAGGCAACTAGTCTGGCTCTCTGCTCAGTGGGGAGCCTGCTTCTCCCTCTCCCTGTGCCTGCTGCTCCACCTGCTTGTGCTGTCAAATAAAAAATCTTTTTTTTTTTAAAGATTTTATTTATTTATTTGACAGAGATCACAAGTAGGCGGAGAGGCAGGCAGAGAGAGAGGAGGAAGCAGGCTCCCCGCTGAGCAGAGAGCCCGATGTGGGGCTCGATCCCAGGACCCTGGGATCATGACCTGAGCCGAAGGCAGAGGCTTTAACCCACTGAGCCACCCAGGCGCCCCTCAAATAAAAAATCTTAAAAAAAAAAAAAAAGTATTTCGAGGTACACCTGGGTGGCTCAGTTGGATTAAGTGACCAACTCTTGGTTTGGGCTCAGGTCCTGATCTCAGCGTGGTGGGACTGGGCCCCAAGTCGGGCTCCCCGCTTGGCACAGAATCTTCTTCAGATTCTCTCTCGCACTCCCTTTGCCCCTCCCACTCATGTGCTCTCTCTATAGAATAAATATCTTTTAAAAAAATACACATTATTTCTTAATACAACACAAAAGCACTTCTAGAAAAACGATTTGTTGCATATGTCCATATATTTCACAATTTACACTCCATGCCTCACAGTATTTATCTAAGCCTGGGGTCAAGCTTATTTTTAGCTAGTACCCTGAGGCTGACTTTCCCGTACAAAAGTAAATTCAAAAGAAATTCAGAGATTAACTGTCTTGCTTGCCTATGGCTTATGTCTGTACCCTTAGAAGGCAGCAGATTAGAAAACCAGGCAAGCCATTTCTTCTATACTGGTCCTTCACACTGATATTTTTTGTCACACATGTACCTCACGTATTAAGAAGGCAGTATTAGAGTTAGAATTCAGTATTACAATTAAGGAAAAGATCAATCAAACCTATAACCCAGACCTCAAAACACTGGACTGTAAGAGCAAATATCTTGAAATTTCTTCTTTATAAATATATTTACTAAACAAAGAAGGAAACAAAATATTCAGGAGCAAAGCTCAGCTACTGCTTTAAAAATAGGAACTGTTTTAGGGCACCTGGATGACTTAGATCATGTGACTATTGAGTTCAGGATCATGAGTTTGAGCCCCACGTTGTGTGTGGAGGTTACTAAAAAAAAATCATAATAAACTTTTTTTTTAAAAGATTTTATTTATTTATTTGACAGACAGAGATCACAAGTAGGCAGAGAGGCAGGCGGGGCGGGGGGGGGGGAAGCAGGTTCTCCACAGAGCAGGGAGCCCTACATGGGGCTTAATCCCAGGACCCTGGGATCATGATCTGAGCCGAAGGCAGCCACTAAACTGACTGAGCCACCCAGGTGCCCCAAAATAATAAACTTTAAAAAAGAAAAAGAAAATTTAAAAATATATCAACTATTTTAACTATGTTGGCAAGTTGTTTTTTTTAAAGGATTATATGTAGAAAAAGATTATAAGTCAATAGCTGAGTAGAAATGCCAACATTAGAGACATTATCACAAACTAAACAAGGAAATTTCTATTTAGAAAACATTTTCTAGGGGCGCCTGGGTGGTTCAGTCAATTAAGCATCTGCCTTCAGCTCAGGTCACGATCCCGGAGTTCCAGGATCAAGCCCGGAATTGGGCTCTCTGCTCAGCAGAGTCTGCTTCTCCCTCTGCCCCTTATCCCCCTTGTGCTGTCTTTTCCCCTCTCTCAAATAAATAAATTAAATCTTTAAACAAACAAACAAACAAGAAAAAAACCCCAAACGTTTTCTAGCTGCCTTTCCCCCCCCCTATTTGGTATTGCTTTGGTTACATAAATGCGCTTAAGTGGAAGGCTGATGTTCCAAGTGAAATAATACTTTAAAGATATGAAGGGGCACCTGGGTGGCTCAGCGGGTTAAAGCCTTCAGCTCAGGTCATTCATGATCCCAGGGTCCTGGGATTGAGCCCTGCATCGGGATCTCTGCTCAGTGGGGAGACTGCTTCTCCATGCCCCTGCCTCTCTCTCTGCCTACTTGTGATCTCTGTCAAATAAATAAATAAAATCTTAAAAAGATATTAAAAGGTATCTAAATTCAGTTTCCTTAATAGCATGTACCTTCTAAGCTATAGACTTCAGTATGTGTAACTGGGAAAGTACTATGGTAATCTTTTTTATTTTTTGGTAATTTTTTAAAGGTTTTTTTCTTCTTTTTTTAGATTTTATTTATTTGACAGAGAGACACAGTGAGAGAAGGAACACAAGCATGGGGAGTGGGAGAGGGAGAAGCAGGCCTCCTGCAGAGCAGGGAGCCTGATGCGGGGCTTGATCTCAGAACCCTGGGATCATGACCCAAGCCGAAGGCAGATGCTTAACGATTGAGCCACCCAGGCGCCCCAAGGCTTTTCATTTTAAATGTTATTTATTTGTTTGACAAAGAGAGACACAGTGAGAGAGGGAACACAAGCAGAGGAGTGAGAGAGGAGAGGTAGGCTTCCCTCCGAGCAGGGAGCCCGATGCCAGGCTTGATTCCAAGACCCTGGAATCATGACCTGAGCTGAAGACAGACACTTAATGACTGAGCCACCCAGGTGCCTGACAAACACCTATTCTAAGATTCAATTCATTTCAGAAATAAATCATATAATCTGTAAGGTTACTTTTTTTCTTAAAGATTTTATTATTTGCCAGAGATCACAAGCAGGCGGCGGGGTGGGGTGATGGCAGGGGTTGGAAGCAGGCTCCCTGCCGAGCAGAGAGCCCGATGTGGGGCTCCATCCCAAGACCCTGGGATCACGACCTGAGCTGAAGGCAGAGGGCTTAACCCACTGAGCCACCCAGGCACCCCTGTAAGTTTACTTCTAAGATTCTGTAACTATTTGTATTTCCTTACATGCATGCTACTTGATTTCTTTGCATTTTAGCTACATAAATGAATCAGGAAACATGCACAGTAAATAAAAAATGTCTTTGTCCCACTGACAAGCACGAAGGAACACACACACACACACATTTTAGGAATATATATGTATTTTAAAGGATTCAATCCTACTTCGGTAAGCAAAATCAAAGCATGGATACAGGATGAGAAATACCTTAAGTTACAGTCAACACAGATTGTTTAAGTTAAAGACTTACATGTGTGTTTATATACATAACATGTTACAGCATAAAATCACACCCAACTTTGCTCTCTTCAGGTACAAGTTAAATATATATTTGTTGAATGGTATCATCTCTGGAGGTCTGAATATTGGGTGCGAGTGGGGATTCTAGGTTTCCTTGGGTCTCTCTCAAGAGCTCATCTCACTCCTTCAGTACTTCTCTTCCCGTTTTCCTTCTTCTTACCCAGAATTGCCATTCTTAAATTTAATATCCAATTTTCACCACTTGCTCATATCACATGGTTCTTTCGAATGTTATTGTCCAAGAACTGACAGGTATTTTTTATAACAAGCAGAAGCCAAAAGATGTAGACATCACACAATTTCATTCAATGGTTATTTAAAAAGTAGAAAACAATAAAAATTCAGTTGCCAACTTAGAGGATTTTATACATCATTAAGTGTTCTATTTTATTTCCATGGTCTGAAATTTATTTCTCATTCAAGAAAACAGATTCATTTCTAAACATTTATTGTATCTTTCTTTGCTGGAAACAGAAGAAACGTTTTTTTCTTTGACAAGGTTGTCCTAGGGGAATAAAACAAATGCTTTTCCAAATTAGAGCGCAAGTCTTTCCTAAATGTCACTGTGTGGTAATTCAGATATAGTAGCAGCCTTTAAAATTTCATAAAAGCTATTGTTAAGATGGTGGTTTGGGCCGTTTTGCAGATGGTCCATCTGAGTTAGATCTGTTACCAGCGTTATTTTCATCTTCTGCATCATCTTCATCATCACCTTTTAAAATAAATATTTATTGTATGACAATATGTTTGGTGGTTCAAAGAAAGAGACTGCTAAAATGGTTGATAATGATATTTCAACTTTAAGGGTTAATAAAATCATGCATATAACAGATTAAAGTATGTATGGTTAAAAAGATTTCAAGAATTTTGGTGTTTGAAATATTTCTTATCACTTTTTTTGGGAGATAAAATTCGTAGACCATAAAATTCACTCTAAGGTATATGAATTGTACCTCCAAAAAAAGTGATGATAGATTTTAAATTTTAAGGTGTACAATTTATTGATTTGTTGTATATTCCCTAGGTTGAGCAACTGTCACCACTATTTAATTCTAGAACATTTTCATCATCCCAGAAAGAAATCTCACACCCATTAACAACCACTTTCCATTCCCTTTAGCCTTTGGCCACCTCTACTCCACTTTCTACTTCCATAGATTTGTCTATTCTGGACATTTCATATAAATGGAATCATAAAATATGTCGCCTTTTTGTCTGCCTCTCTTCACTCAACATATTTTTAAGGTTCATTCACACTGTAGTGTTTATTGGTACTTCCTTTTTATTGTTAAACAGTACTCCACTGATGGATACATCACATTTTGTTTATCCACATCAGGTGATGGACTTCTGTGCTGTTTCCAATTTTTAGTTATTATAAAACAGTGCTGCTACAAACATTCATGAATAAGCTTTCATGTGAACGTATGTTTCCGGTTCTCTTTGTGCAGAACTAGGAATGGAATGAATGGAATTTCTGGGTCATATAACTTTATGTTTAACTTTTTGAGGAGCTGCCGAACTGTTTTCCAAAGAAGGTATAACATTTCATATTTCCACCAGCATGTATAAGGCCTCCAATTTCTTCACGTCCTAGCCAGCACTTGTCATTGTTCTTTCTGATTACAGCCATCCTAGTGAGCATGATGGGTTTTTTATTGTGGTCTTCATTAGCATTTTTCTGATGGCCAATGACGTTGAACATCTTTTCGTGAGCTTACTGACCATTTGTACATCTCATCTGGAGAAATGTCTATTCAAATCCTTTGCATATTTGATAACTGGATTATTTGTAATCCAATTTCACTACTTAGTACTTTTTTTAGAGTTCTAACACTTTTTTTAGTAATTGTTATAATTTTAAAATTTTGGACATTTGTTGAGATAGAATTCCTATGACACAAAATGTACCATTTCAATCTCTATTACTTTTAACAAAGGAAATTCAAACCTAAGCTTTATGGGGTCTTCATTTAATATACAAAAACATGTTCTCCAATACAAAGATATTAGAGACCTGCCATTAATGGAATAGGTGGCAGTTATTTTTCCAGTAAGTGATGATATTTTAAGAAATGGCTCTAGCTATATTCCAATGACAACACTTTGAACAGATTAGAGAAGTACTTCTGGAGCCAAGAAATAGGACTTCACTTTCAAGGTAGGTGGCAACACCCAATTAACATATTCATGGCACCAATCTATTGTCTGCACTCAGTATAATGGTCTGAGTTCACATTATCTGTAACTGTCAAGATGTAAACAAGATGGAAAAAAAAAGTACAGTACAGTACAGTTTAAGCTCCTCTTTAGAGGCGTTAAGTCCTGACTCAAGAATTTAATTCTTTTTTTTTTTTTTTAAGATTTTATTTATTTATTTGACAGAGAGAGATCACAAGTAGGCAGAGAGGCAGGCAGAGAGAGGAGGAAGCAGGCTCCCCGCTAAGCAGAGAGCCCGATGCGGGGCTCGATCCCAGGACCCCGAGATCATGACCTGAGCCGAAGACAGAGGCTTTAACCCACTGAGCCACCCAGGCGCCCCTCAAGAATTTAATTCTTGGGTTCTTCAGCTCAGGGCAGAAAATGTACCTTACCTTTTTTTGTATTCACCTGAATTTCACATTTCTCCTTTCAAACTGTGCCTTCTAAAATGGGATAGGGGAAGGGAGTCCCTGGGAGTTAGAGCTCCTTAAACTGACGTCTTCAGGACCTATTCTGCGATAGATGGCAGTCTCCCTAACATGTTTGTAATTTCAACCCCAGGAATGCTCATTTTCATCCTTCAACCCCCAACTCAAAAGTCATGCCCCTTCTGAAGTCTGAAGCCTTCCTGGGTCCTCTGAGCGTGCAGTATTTACAGAGGGCCCTGGGGTCATACTTCTAGTCTGTAGTAAGTGTTTGCTTGTCTAACCCCACCAGCCCGAGAGTTCCACAAGGCCAGGAACTGAGCGGCATTCACCTCATTCTTTTTCAAGAGCACAGCCCAGTGCCTGGCAGAGTACTAGGCACTCAGCATGTTTTTTTTTTGTGTGGCATAAATGGAAAGAGTCGCGAAAACGCCTACGTAGAAGCAGCCCAGATAACACTATAACAATTTTTAGTTGGATTCTTGTTCCCTCGAGGCTTTCTCCAAGTCGGCCACTCTCCCCGGGCTCCCCTGCCCCGCCCTCCTGTCGCTCCAGCACCTTCTCAGGGCTCACCGTCCATGGCCTCTTCTGGAGCCGCCGCCTCCTGGTCTTGCGCTTCCTGCTGTACCAGGGGGCCGAAGAGCTCGATCACCAACTCTCTCATCTGGGCCACACCAGCCAACAGGCCCTGGAAAGGGTCCGCGTCGCCCGGCGCCTCACAGGGCACCCGCAGCAGCTGCTGCTGCCCATCCAGCCCGATGTACTCGCCCGACAACTCCATGACGACCGCGGAGCTTCAACAGCAAGAGCCCGGGAAGTACCATCCGGAAGCGGAAGTCAGCACGCGGCGGGCGCAGGCGGGCGCAGGCGGGCCAAGGGAGAGGAGTGACTTCCGTTTGTCGGGAGTCGCTCCTCCTCCTTCCTTCTCTTCCCTTCTTTGGGATTGGCTCTTAGCACTGGGCTCCGCCTCCTCCGGCCACGCCTCCCGCAGCCGCTTTTCCCGCCTCCGCCGGGCCAAGCGGCGGTCCCGCTGACAGTTGAGGATGGCCGGGGCGGAGGGGTCCGCTGGGCGGCAGTCGGAGCTGGAGCCCGTGGTATCGTTGGTCGACGTTCTAGAGGAGGACGAGGAGCTGGAGAACGAGGCGTGCGCCGTACTGGGCGGCAGCGACTCGGAGAAGTGCTCCTACTCGCAGGTGGGCGCGCGGCCCGGGCCTCGCCTCTCCCGGGCTCCCGCCGAACCTCCTGTTCCCGACCCGCCTTGCCCTCTTCCCGCCGTTCGTCGTAGGCTTCCCCGTCCCAGGCCCAGCTGCCCTTAAACCTCAGCCTCCTGGGTCCTCCTTCTTAGCCTGTAGCCAGCAGGGCCCCCCTCCTCCCTCGGTCTTCCTTCGTCCGGTCCCTCGGGATTCTGCAGGCTCCGGCCGTGGGGCCCCTGCTCTTTCCTTCCTCTCCCGTCTCTCCTCGGTGCCTCGGCTGCTTTTCAGAAACCGTCTCCGTGACCTCTCAGATCCCGACATCTTTGTCCTTACTTTTCGCGTCCTAAGAGTGTTTCTTAGGAAGCGAATGGGGAGAGTCAAAGCAGAGTCAAAGGAGAGAGCTCTGGATTTGAAAAAGCTCCCCCTGGGCTGGGTTCCTTGACGGGTAATCCTCTACAATTGAGCTTGACAAGCGCTAGCTCATAGTTTTTTTGGCGAGACGAAGCAAGTACAGTGTCTATTTGCATCCCGCCCCCCGCCCCCCATGGAAACAGACCGGAACCGCGACAGCAGGTGGCACTGGCGAAGGAGGGGAGGAAAGGAGAGGATTTGCTTGAAGGGTAAATTTGGCATTTGGAAGACGTTATGAATCAGGATTTGAGGGGGTGCGTTGCAGTGTTTGGTGACTCGTCCTGTATTTCTAGGTACAAAAATGGAGCAAGGTGGGTAGAAGGAATCTACTCGGGATGAGAATTGGTAGGAAGAAGGAGGTTACCCAGACTCTGGGGGATGCATGGAACATTGGGGGACGAGGCGAGAGACTTGGGGCCGTCGTTATGTGTGCAGACTGAGCTCATAATACCACTTGTCATCGTTGACCGGTTGAGTTTACCCTGCGCAGTGGTTAGATTGTTGAATTAACCTGGTATCTACAGATAGTCCCAGATGTTGGCTGCTATTTTAAAACCTTTGGTCACCATTGAAACAACTTTTTCTCTTTAAGAAAAAAAAAAAAAGGCGTGTGTAAGCCTTTCTAGAAATGTAGTTAACTTTATAAAACAGACTTCTTAAAAATTTTCTTTTTACTATAGTAAAATATGCGGAAAATCACATGAGTCATGTCTATGGGTTGGGGGAAAAAGTGAACATACGTATGTACCTACTAACCGCGGGTCCCCCAGATCAAGAAATAGAACATTAAGGGCATCCTAAAAGCTTCTGTCTCCCTCCTTTCTAGAGGAGGGTAACCACTGTCAAGATTTCTAAAAGTATTGCCTGTTTTTCCTCCCAACTTTTAATTTTGAAAAAATTTAAATCTACAGGTATGTTGAAAGAATAATATTACGAACACCTGTGTATCTCTTACATGTATTCATTTTTGCCACATATGTTTTATCTCTTTTCTATATAATACACTTTTCCCCCCGAATCATTTGAAAATAAGTTGTAGACACAATGACACTCTAAATATTTCAGCATGCACCTCCTAAAGTCAAAAGGATTCTTTTAATGCATTGATTTTCTCTCTGGCAGAGTCACAAGTGTTTTCCAAAATTATAAGTGTGATACTGCTTACATAAACCTGTACATATTCTCCTATATTTTCATGTGTTAAAATGTAGTGCAGACCAGCTTTTTCTTATTTCCAGCTGACTGGGAATTTAAAACTATCATTTTAAGAAAAAATTGTATGAAAATGAGCACCAATATAAGACATATATAATGATTTGAAACATGCAACGGTGTTTTGGTACTTTCTTGTGTAATTATTCTCTCTTTCCATTTTGGGGCTGTCTTTTAGGGCTCAGTAAAGAGACAAGCACTATATGCCTGTAGTACGTGCACCCCAGAGGGAGAAGAACCAGCAGGAATTTGCCTAGCTTGCAGTTACGAATGTCATGGAAGTCATAAACTATTTGAGCTATACACAAAAAGGTAAAGACAGAGATTGGCGCTGAATGCTTTTTAAGTGTTTGAATTCTTTCCCACCTGTACTGTTTTTCTTGTTTTTCCATTTAAAGTAGTTGTGCACTGGTCAAATTTAATGTAATTGTTTAATTGGAGAGAACAGTTTTTCCATAGGGCCTTTTAAAGTATAATTACTGTATAAACTCAAACTGTCCTCCTTCCTCTGCCATTGTTTTACTTGTCTGTTTGTGTATGTGTGATATAAATATTTGTCTCTGTGCATGTTTATTTTATTGTTATATGCTTGGAGAAATTTTAAATTGGATACATGAACAACAACCAAGATCACTTTTTGGGCTGTGGTATTAATTTAAAGAGTAACTCATTAGATTTAAAAGAAAAATTAAAAGCGGTTTTTCCTCATTTTTTCCAGAAACTTTCGTTGTGATTGTGGGAACAGCAAGTTTAAAAATTTGGAATGCAAATTATTTCCTGTAAGTAAGCACTGTAACTAAAAATGCATTGAAAATAGCTGAGACTGATACTTGTGAGAGTGGATTAAAACTATGCATTTTCCAAAAAGGAAGTTGTTTTTTTTTTTTAAAGATTTTATTTATTTATTTGACAGATAGAGATCACAAGTAGGCAGAGAGGCAGGCAGAGAGAGAGAGAGGAGGAAGCAGGCTCCCTGCCGAGCAGAGAGCCCGATGCAGGACTCGATGCCAGGACCCTGGGATCATGACCTGAGCCAAAGGCAGAGGCTTTAACTCACTGAGCCACGCAGGTGCCCCCAAAAAGGAAGTTCTTATGCTTATTCTTTGCAAATAGGCAAATCAGTATTAGACTGTATTCCATTTTTTATTTTGTTGGAAAACTAACCTGTTTAGAGCCTATATTACAGATTGTAATTAATATGAAATATTTTGGTGGAGATGTTCTTTGAAGTAACTCAGGTTTGATTATGTTGGTTGTGCTCATGGTTTAAGGCTTTTAAAGCAAAGGGTATGACTTTAAAAACAATAAAAAACTTGCTCGTAATGAATGTGAGCTAGATGCACACAGGAGTTTTTCACTGCTTTTTTGCTAATTATACGGTAACGTTTACTAAAGTAACAAAAGCTAAGTAGAAAGGGATTTTACACTGTCCAGTCATAATTACTATTCCGTTATAATTACTATTTCCCTCCTTTCAAGGTTATTTTTAGACAGTTTCCTTGCCTGCTTTTTTACCTTCCAGTAACCTGGGAGCTTTGGCAATCACAGCTGGGCATTAAGAAATACTTTGAAAATCTAGGCCAGTGTTCATTTACATGGGTCGATCATTAATATTTATAATTAACTTTTACCAGCATTTTGTTATGGACATATTTGGTTTCCCCCCAATTACTGCAAAGAGGGTACAAAAATTTAATTTTATTTATTCTCTGTGTCTTGGAAAAAGTACCCTTTTAATAGGAGTGAATTCTTTTTCTTGGTACTTTGAAAGTTAAAGACCAACTTTTGGTGAGGAAGTTATTTAATGTAGAAGTTGATTGAATGCATGGACTTCATGCAATAGGAAATTTATGATATTTATGACATTATATTCATGTTATTTATCATGCCTTACTCTATTACACTGATGATATATTATAAATATAATGTATTATATGTCATATATATGATATTTGTATGGCATATATGATAATTTATACTTTCATGATACCTGAAATTATAGTCAAAATTAGACCACATTTTATATTGAAATTAATCTCTTTCAGGACAAAGCAAAGATAAATCCTGGCAATAAATACAATGACAACTTTTTTGGATTGTACTGCATTTGTAAGAGACCTTATCCTGATCCTGATGATGAGGTAAGAGAATTAGAGGTTACTTGGAGGTTAATACCTCTAGCCTTCACTCCTCAGCCTGTTGTCCAGTCTGGATCTCTGGAGCTGTTAAGAGGGGATTTGAGGATTATGAGAGGATTCTATGTTTATCCTTTAAAAGGAGTCTGGGCTGGAGCTGTAACTGGTACAGATCTCGACTATTCTCACTCTACACCATGAAAGTGAAATACTGTACAGGACTTTCTCAAGGCCGGCACTTTCTTCCTTCCTCTCTCTCGTTGCTCGCCTGCTCTGCTCCCCCAAACATTGTCCAAAAAATGATCTTCAACTTCTTGCTTCCCTGAAAGAAAAGAAATGGGGTATACAGACTGAATCCTCTTAAAGATTTCAATATATACAAAATTTTTTAATTTTTTAATTAATTTTATTTTTTAAAGATTCTATTTATTTATTTGATAGAGAGATCACAAGTAGGCAGAGCAGCAGTCAGAGAGAGAGGGGGAAGCAGGCTCCCTGCTGAGCAGAGAGCCCGATGTGGGGCTAGATCCCAGGACCCTGAGATCACGACCTGAGCCGAAGGCAGAGGCTTAACCCATTGAGTCACCCAGGCGCCGAAAACGTTTAAAATTTTTAAAAAAGTATACACAGAATTTAGAAAGAGTTGTTCTTCTTCCTCACTCCATCTTCTTACTTCCTAGATATAACCCGTGTTAACACTTTTTGGGGGATATGTTTTTAGACCTCTTTCTCTGCCCATGTAAGTGGGTGTGTGTTTCAATGTGTAGTTTCCTTTTAACAAAAGTGAAAATTCAGTACATTCACTTGTGCAGCTTTTCTCACTTATCAGTATATCACAGACCTCTTTCCACACGACACCGCACAAATCCACCTTGCTCCCAGGTCACTTCATAACATGACCTGCTGTAAGTTAGTGACCTGGGTGTCCTGTCGCAGACTGCTGCTGTCTCATTTCTCGGCATTGTAAAGAAAGCTGCGGTGAACATCCCTATGCAGTAATATGACTGAGTGTATTCCTGCGAGCATTAATGGATACCTAGAGGGAGAACCAGAGAGACTTAGGATACTTATATTTCCTGCAAAAAGAGTTCAGTCGCAAATAGTAGATGGTAGTGTGTTTTTCCCTATACTCTTGTTAGGCCTACATACTTGCAGTCTTTTTACATTTTGCCATGTTGATAGGTGAAGAGCAGTATCTTTTAAAGATTTCCTTTCCCTGATCATGAGTGACATTATGCATCCTACATGAGCTTATTAAATATTTGTAATAAGCTATCTGAATTGTCTGTTCATAGTCTTGGCCCATATTTTGACTGGCTTTTGTTTGTGTATTTACTGATTTGAAGAAGTGCTTTTATGTTTAGAGAAATTAGCCTTTTGCCCTCTTGCTTTCTAGTTGTCTTGGAACTGTAATTATTGAACCAAATTATGTAGAGGAACAAGTTGAAGATATCTTTGAGTTAACAAAGATAAAACCTTAAAACTGGGGCACCTGGGTGGCTCAGTTGTTGGGTGGCTGCCTTCGGCTCAGGTCATGGTCCCAGGGTTCTGGGATCGAGCCCCACATTGGGCTCCCTGCTCAGTGGGAAGCCTGCTTCTCCCTCTCCCACTCCACCTGCTTGTTCCCACTCTTGCTGTGTCTCTCTCTGTCAAATAAATAAATAAATCTTAAAAAAAAAAACAAACCTTAAAACTGGATATTTTAAGTTATGGGGTAAAGTGTTATGACACTGTTAAAAGACAGAAATAAGATGCTGAATAAATTGAACAAGGCAGAAAAAGGAATAAAACATATATATATATATATATATATATATATATATATATATATATATAGTGTGTGTGTGTGTGCGTGTGTGTGTGTGTGTGTGTGTAGGTCTATGTATGGGCATATATAAAGATACATACGCTTTTTCCCCCTTTAAGAAGTTATAATAGGGAAAAGACAGAACAACATTGGGGTATTAATCAGTAGACATGAAAGTCTGGGAATGAAAGGAAAACCACTCCAAAAGAGTCTGTGCCCTTTGGTATATTGTTTTCCTAGGTCCAGAATTTAATTACTTAATTATTTAACTAATTCAAGTTAGGGAAATTATTGCTGTCCATATTATCAAAAGACTGTTTATGATATTTACTTTCCAGTTTAAGTAAAATGAAAGGGTTGAAGAATGTGGGGTTGCCACATTCTGCATTGGTCAAGTTGTCTTACCTCCCTGGGCCTTGGTTTATGGATAAAATAAAGATGCCAAGTAACCAAAGTGAATTTTTTTTTAAAAAAGATTTTATTTATTTATTTGACAGACAGAGATCATAAGTAGGCAGAGAGGCAGGCAGAGAGAGGAAGGAAAGCAGAATCCCTGCCGAGCAGAGAGCCCGATGCGGGGCTCGATCCTTGGACCCCAGGATCATCGCCTGAGCCGAAGGCAGAGGCTTAACCCACTGAGCCACCCAGGCGCCCTCCAAAGTGAATTTTTGATGGTTGCTTCCAAAGTGCTCACCTCAATGTGTCCCTTCTGCAAACCAGTTCCTGGAGAGTGAGCTTCTCTGGCCCCGTGACCCGCTCCTTCTCCCTGTGCCCTTGACTGTTGGCACGTGGAGAGCAGTCTCACAGAATCAGCAGAGAATTATTTAGTATCTGCTTCTACTGTTTGCCAGATTGACTTCTGTGTCCCCGAATTCACTGTACTCATTAACATGCGAACTGCTTTCCACGTTAGATTCCGGATGAGATGATCCAGTGTGTGGTCTGCGAGGACTGGTTCCACGGGAGGGTAAGGAAAGCTTTGACCTTTTAAAGCCCTCGTCCTCACGAAAAGAGAAAAGAGGTTTTCTTTTTGAATGGCATTATCTTTTACCTTATGATTACTCTTCTAAAAATAAACTATAAAGATAGGATCGGTGCTGTATTGCGGTATTTGTTTATTACATAATGAGGATTTGGGGCAGCTTGGAGACCACAAGCAAAATCCTCGGTTTCCTGTATTCACAGCATCTTGGTGCTGTTCCCCCTGAGAGCGGCGACTTCCAGGAGATGGTGTGCCAGGCTTGTATGAAGCGCTGCTCCTTCCTGTGGGCTTACGCTGCGCAACTGGCGGGTACGTGTCTCTGGTATCGGGGTGCCCCAAACCCGGGTTCGTGACATTTCTGTGTTCAGTCCAGAATTTTTAGCAACTGTTTTTTTTTTTTTTTTTTTTTCTAAATTTAAATTCAATGCATTAACTTACAGTGTATTATTAGTTTCAGAGGTAGAGGTCAGGGATTCATCAGCCTTATATAACACCCAGTCCTCATTCCATTCCGTGCCCTCTTTCATGCCCGTCACCCAGTTTCCCATCCCCCTCCCCTCCAGCAACTCTCAGTCTGTTTCCTATGGTCAAGGGTCTTTTAGCAACTGTTTTTAAGTTGGAGGAGACAGAATCAGGGAAAATGGAAGAGGAAGTTCTTGAATGGGACTTTGAAAAATAAATAGAACCAAAATAAATTGTTCTTAAATGGAAGACATGCTATTGGTTGGGAGGTGTGGGGTGTAATTTGCTACCCAGTGCTTATATTATATTATATTATATTATATTATGTATATACTATAGAAATTGGCCTGAAACAGCTAATCAACAATGAATGGTCTTGAGGCATTAGGTATTTTATTTTACTGATAATGCAATGTGTTAATTAATTTATTTTTAGAGTGGCAGTTACTCATAGTGTTTGCTGCTCTGACCTCATAATGTCTTATCCTTCTCACCTTTAGGGAACATTTTACCATATGAACCACAAACAGCATAGCCATACCTAAAATCTAACCCTACTCTTTTGATTTGTCTCAAAGTTCTTTTTTTTTTTTTAAGATTTTATTTATTCATTTATCAGAGAAAGAGAGAGAGAGAGTAAAAGCAGCGGGGAGCGGCAGGCAGAGGGAGAAGCACGCTCCCTGCTGAGCAAGGAGCCTGATTCGGGGCTCCATTCCAGGACCCTGGGATCATGACCTGAGCCGGAGGCAGAGGCTTTAATCCACTGAGCCACCCAGGCACTCCAGTGACTGACATTTTAATTTTTAATTTTTGTTTATTTTTAAAGGTTTATTTATTTGTGAGAGAGAAACCAAGATCTCAACAGACATAGCAAGAGAGAACATGAGTGGGGAGGAGAGGGAGAAGCAGGCTTCCCGCCGAGCAGGGAGCCCAGTGGGGGGCTCAATCCAGGACCTTCAGATCATGACCTGAGCCAAAGGCAGGCACCTAACCAGTAAACCACACAGGTGTCCCAAAGATGTATTTATTTAATCTCTGCACTCAGTGTGGGGCTCAAACTCATGACCATAAGATCGAGTTGCATGTTCTTCCAGCTGAGCCAGTCAGCTGCCCTGTGATTGACTTTTTTTTTTTTTTAAGATTTTTTTTTTTTTTTTAAAGATTTTATTTATTTATTTGACAGAGAGAGATCACAAGTAGATGGAGAGGCAGGCAGAGAGAGAGAGAGAGAGAGAGAGAGAGGGAAGCAGGCTCCCCGCTGAGCAGAGAGCCCGATGCGGGACTCGATCCCAGGACCCTGAGATCATGACCTGAGCCGAAGGCAGCGGCTTAACCCACTGAGCCACCCAGGCGCCCCTTTTTTTTTTAAGATTTTATTTGTCAGAGAAAGAGAGAGAGCACAAGCAGGGAGAGTGGCAGGAAGAGGGAGAAGCAGGCTTCCCGCTGAGTAAGAAGCTCCCCAATGTGGGACTCAGTCCCAGGACCCTGGGATCATGACATGAGCCAAAGTCAGACTGAGCCATCCAGCGTCCTGTGACTGACATTTTTAAATGAACGGTTCAATTACTTGAACTCTGGATTAGGTAGACATAACCTAAAAAAGAGTTGATGATTCCTTTCTCTTTATTCCAAAGAATAAGGTTGACTCTCTTTTTCCAGATTCTGAAATTTTTTATAATCAGACTAAGTGATTTCACTGTTTAATAATCTGGATATGTGTGTGTTTCTTTTCAATGAACCCGCAGTCACCAAAGTATCCACAGAGGATGACGGGTTGGTGCTGAATGTTGATGGAACAGGTGATCAGGAAGTCATCAAACCCGAAAATGGAGGTCATCAAGATAGTAGCCTCAGAGAGGATGTTCCCGAATATGGAAAAGATGCGGTCCAGGAAGTCAAAGCAGAGCAGACTAATGAACCATGTGCCAGCTCTAGTTCTGAATCTGATCTCCAGGTAACATAGGAAGTCTGAGCCATAAAAGAAATAAAGCGTAAGCAAAATTAATTCTGGAAGCTCCGAAGGATTTCATGCCTAAAGAAATTCCTCTCTATAGCCTAAGCTCTGGAAACTGTGATAGTGTAAAAAACACACTTCAAAATTTCATATCATTTCAGACAGGGTTTAAGAATCAGCATCTCAACTCGGAATCACAGTCTGGCTGCAGACTTCAAGAGCTTAATGCTAAGCGGTTTGTAAAGAAGGACACCGCCACCTATTGGCCTGTTTACTGGCGCAGCAAGTTATGTACCTGCAAAGACTGCATGGTGAGTTCGGGGTCAAGGTCACCGTTATGTTACTGTGTTTGTTATGGACCGATGCCACAAATAGGGCCATCTGGAAAATATATTTATGAAACTGTTGCTAGGACTGTAAAGAACTCTGAAATATTTTATATTAAGCAAATTTATGTAATGCTACTTGTTGTCTGACTGCTTGTGGGAGAAATTAGGAATTATGTAGTACTTCTTATTCACTTATCTTCATTTCAGTGGAAAATAGAAGTTCTTCTCTTTTTTATATCGTAGAATTTGCTTGGAAATAAAAATATCCATGAAAGTTACATTAAGTCCGTCGTTTTTAAATAAAGACCCTGCAACACCTACTGGGAAGTTGGGAGATTCCTGAGAGAGATTTGGGCAGGAAAAATAAATCACTCAAGTGTTTCTATACTAAAGGCTCAAGATTTTCTGGCAGTTGACCCGAAAACATTAAATAAATTTGTAGTGATTCTCATGAAGTTGACTTTCTGAGAATAACATACAGTTCTAATGGGAAACTGGTTTTATTTTTTGAAGAAAATGTATGGCGAGCTAGATGTCCTGTTCCTGACAGATGAATATGACACAGTTCTGGCTTATGAAAACAAGGGCAAGGTCGACCAGGCAGCTGACAGGAGAGACCCTTTAATGGACACCCTTAACAGCATGGACAGAGTCCAGCAAGTGGAACTCATTTGTGGTAAATGCTGTTTGAACAAAAATTCACAAAGCTCATTAAGGTTTCCTTAAGTCTTAAAATATGTTTAGTGAACAGTTAATTGTCGTTTTCACTTAATACAAACAAGGTTTGAAATTGGAATTATAAAGTAGCTTTCAATTACGCTTGCCTGATTGTAGCGTTGCTGGGTACGCAGTGGTTGTTACCACTGTCAGAATTATGTGCCAGAAGCGTTAGGTGCTTAGAACCCTTAACGTGTGCTTTTTGGATTCATGGTAGATGTATGAGTAAGGAATAATAGAAAAGCAGTATCTTTCTCCATCCGCTGAAATGGTTTGCATTGAACATTACCCGTCCTCCAGGAAGCCCCCAGAGGGGGAAATACCCCAGCCCTTGCTGGCAGACCTTTACAGATGGTCCCCCAGTGTGCCCAGCTGATTTTGGTCATTTCCATCCTGGTGTCTGCTCGGGTACCACCCCTTCAGAGGCAGTCATCATTTCTGTCTTTCGTTTTTAAATGTTTGATGAATTTCCTTTGCCTCTGGTAGACTAAAAGCTTTTCAAGGATGGAGGCTGCATCTGAAAGATTTCTGTGGCCCTCAGGGGGGCCTCATACATAACAGAAACTATTAAGTGAGTGAGTGAGTCTTAAAACCTAAAGTTTGACAAGCCCAAGATTATTTCAACTACTAGGATTCCAGAGAGATAGGAAGCCCTTTAAAAAATTCTTAGCTGACAGGGGGTCTGGCGGCTCAGTTGTTAAGTGTCTGCCTTTAGCTCAGGTCATGATCTCAGGGTCCTGGGATCAAGCCCCACATCGGGCTCCCTGCTTGGCGGAAAGCCTGCTTCTCCCTCTTCCACTCCTGCTGGTTGTGTCCTCTCTCTCTCTCTCTTTGTGTCTCTCTCTGTCAAGTAAATAAATAAAATCTTAAAAAAAAAAAAAAAAAATCTTAGCTGGGGCACCTGGGCGGCTCAGTGGGTTAAGAGTCTCCCCTTGGGGGGCGCCTGGGTGGCTCAGTGGGTTAAGCCGCTGCCTTCGGCTCAGGTCATGATCTCAGAGTCCTGGGATTGAGCCCCACATTGGGCTCTCTGTTCAGCAGGGAGCCTGCTTCCTCCTCTCTCTCTCCCTGCCTCTCTGCCTGCTTGTGATCTCTCTCTGTCAAATAAATAAATAAAATCTTTAAAAAAAAAAAAAAAAAAAAAGAGTCTCCCCTTGGCTCAGGTCATGATCCTGGAGTTCCAGAATCGAGCCCTGCATCCTGCTCCCTGCTCAGCGGGGGAGTCTGCTTCTCCCTCTGCCCCTTACCCTGCTTGTGTTCTCTCTCTCTCTCTCTCTCAAAATAAGTAAGTAATCTTTTAAAAATTAAAAAAATAACTTAATCTTTTTGGACCTGAGGTTTTATTTTTGTTTTTTTTGTTGTTGTTGTTGTTGTTGGTTGGTTTGTTTTTTAAAGAAGTAGGGTCCTTGATATCAAAATGAAAGAACTCAGGAGAAATTGGGACAAGTTTCTTATTTATTTGTTTATTTACTTATTTATTTAGAGAGAGAGCATGAGCAAGAGGGGCAGAAGGAGAGAATCTCAAGCGGACTCTGTGCTGAGCACAGAGCCCGACGTGGGGCTCAATCCCATGACCCTGAGATCACGACCTGAGCCGAAACCAAGAGTCAGAAGCTCAACCAACTGTGCCACCCAGGCGCCCCATAGGAGCAAGTTTCAATGCACGTTTCACTTAGAGAAAAATTTAAACTATTAACATACTCAAATGTTAGTGGGAAAGAAGTACTTTGTTTCTAAAAGCACATGACTTGTCTCATGTTTACTATCTCTTTTACTGTTTTGATTTAGAATACAATGACTTGAAGACCGAACTTAAAGACTATCTCAAGAGATTTGCTGATGAAGGCACGGTATGTGAGTTAAAGGACTTTAATCATAGCCCTGTATGTTCTGAATAAACTGTTTATTTTCTTGGAGGAAGAAATGACCACGTATGTTAAACTGGAAACTTGGGAGGTGAATGCAGGCAGAGCTAAGCGAAATCAGTGAGAGGTGGGGAAAGTAGGGCCTGGCCATGCTGGGAGTCCTTCCCAGCCCTGGGCTGTCAGGAGTGAGGGGCAGAGCAGCCATACAGGGTCTGGAGAGAGTTCATGTAGCCAGAGAAGGCCAGGACGTGAGCCATCCTGATTCTGCCCATCCTGACCTTCAAGTGGAGATCCTTGGAGGAGGAAGGAAAAATGACTAGGCAAGGAAAAACTAATGCCAGACCCCTCTTTTTGGATTTTTTGATTCTATAGTTTAGAATAAAAGAACTTCACAATTGGGGCTAAAACATTTTTCTTGCTCATGAGAGTCTATATGCTTTTAAGGGTGACACTGATTCTAAAATGTGGGATCCTCAAAACAGTCTTGCAGGTGAATTTACAAGGACTTCCTAGCTCTTTACTGTTCATACATTTGTGACAGAATGTTCTTCTGAAATACTTTTCTGGCCTCCACAGGCAGATAGAAACAAAATTTAACTTTTCTTTTGTCCTTATGGACGGTTTGCTCTGCTGTGCGCAGACAGAAATCAAACCAGGTGTGTCCGGCGGCTGCTGGGGAAGTGCGCTGAGACTTGGTCCCTTGGAAGGAGTCTTTGCTAGCCTGCTTGAAGCCACTTTCTCCTCGCTCATAAATGTGGCAAGAGCTTGGAGCTGCCTGCAGATCTGGACAGGGTCGCAGCGCTGCCTTTCTGCATAATGAGTTGTAAAGTCAGAAATTAAGAGTTTTCTATTTAGTAGGCGTCTCATTTTTTAGAGAATGTTCCTCGTTCTCAGCCTCCCGCCTCTCAGCAGTACTTGAACTGCAGTCATTCCTGTTCCTCTGGTTAACGTAGACTCCGCTTCTTTCTCGCTAGACCTGAGAATGTTCGCAGGACGCCTGGGTGCCTCGGTCAGTTAAGCATCTGACTGGATCTTGGTGCAGGTCTTAATGTCGGCGTCATGAGTTCAGCCCCCACTTTGGGCTCCACGTTGGGCTCCATGCTGGGCGAGGAGCCTGCTTAAAAAAATAAAAACTAAGAATGTTCACAGGTATAACTGTTTAAACCTTGGCACTGTTGTTTTTTTTTTTACTGAAGTGTAGTTAACACACAATTTTATATTGGTTTCAGGTGTCTTAACCTCTGCAGTATTCATGGGCATTTGAGGTCTTTCGTATGTGTCAGAGCATGTGTGTTTTTTTGTTTTTTTTTTTGTTTTTAAAGATTTATTTATTTATTTATTTGACAGAGATCACAAGCAGGCAGAGAGAGAGAGGAGGAAGCAGGCTCCCCACGGAGCAGAGAGCCCAATGCGGGGCTCGATCCCAGGACCCTGGGATCATGACCTGAGCCGAAGGCAGAGGCTTTAACCCACTGAGCCACCCAGGCGCCCCAGCATGTGTGTTCTTGACTCTTATCTTGTACCTTCTGCTTTTGTGCAGTTTGTGGTCACAAGGCCCTTTATTGATTTTACTACACACGCTTGAAATCATGTAAAAGAAAGGACAAGCAATTTTATTCAAGGTTTTCTCCTGTGTCCTCAGTATATGGATCTTTGTCATCACTAGAGCTGCTTTTTATGAGTCTAAGATAATTTTTTTTGTATCTGATGTGATGATTTAAGAGGACAATATATTTTTTAATTGTTTGTTCCATGACATGGGTAACTAGACCTTTACAAAAACAAATAAGAACCTTAAGCCGCAGTAAGGTTCCTCTGCTTTGGCTGTATTTGTCCTGATACGTTGTAGATGTTCTCAGATGAGGGACTGCCTTTTATTTTATGTTTGTGTTTGACTATAAAAGAAAGAATCCTTAGAAACTATAAAATGTCTGAGACAAATTGGTGAAATGATTTATGATTGATCCCCAGTATTTATTCTTTTTTTTTTTTTTTTTTTAAAGATTTTATTTATTTATTTGGCAGAGAGAGATCACAAGTAGATGGAGAGGCAGGCAGAGAGAGAGAGAGGGAAGCAGGATCTCTGCCGAGCAGAGAACCCGATGCGGGACTCGATCCCAGTACCCCGAGATCACGACCTGAGCCAAAGGCAGCGGCCTAACCCACTGAGCCACCCAGGCGCCCCCCAGTATTTATTCTTCAACATTTCTACTCTGCATGTTGGCTGTGACCGTTTGAGGGTCTAGAAGCTTAAAATTGCGCACTCTAATTTTCATGCTTTTAGGTCACCTCTCCTAACCTTCTTGAAGGAAAATTGCTTTTCTTTTATTGCCTTTCGGTATTTAGTGTTGGTGATCCGGTGTAGAGACAGTTCCTTCAAACTGGAATTTCCAAGTGTCCTGTATATTAGCATTTTATAAGTGTGAAGTTCCAAGCCATTTAGCAAATAGAGTAGAGCTTTGAGCTTCAGCTTCTCGAGTGGATCGGCCACCTAGAGCCTGCATCTGTTAGGGGCTCTGATTCTTTGCTGGGTGACCAGCTGTCTCAACATTGGTGCTTGTGAAGCTGGCATATCAGTTACCGGTCTGTGTTGTTCTTCCACTTAGAGGATTAATAAGTATCTTACCCCAAGGAAGGCATCAAGTTGGCATGGCTGCCTGTGGATGTTTGCAGCACCTACCCTGGGGAGTAAGGGGGAGAGTTTCACTTTATATGCAAATATTTATCCATTTTCTTACTTTTTCCCCTCTCTACCTCTTGCTCACCTGCATTCCCCGGGCTGGCTTTTTCTCTTTCCCTCCCTCTTCTGCCCCACCTTCATTCTTTCATAACAGTAAGAATATGTTACCTTTGTAATGAAAAACTAAATTCCTGGGGTGCCTGGGTGGCTTAGTGGGTTAAGCCTCTGCTTTTGGCTCAGGTCATGATCCCAGGATCCTGGGATCCAGTCCCGCATCAGGCTCTCTGCTCAGCAGGGGGCCGACTTCCCCCTCTCTGCCTCTGCCTGTCACTCTGCCTACTTGTGATCTCTCTCTCTGTCAAGTAAATAAATAAAATCTTAAAAAAAAAAAAAAAACCTAAACTAAATTTCCAAACCTATCTGTTTTGATGGACTTCGGGTGGCAGTTAGGTCAGAGCAGCTGGAGGTCAGATCAGCTGGCTAGACATTCTTGGGGTGAACAAGGACTCCTTCAAGGTTGTCCCACTTTCCTTTTCATCCATATTGTTCCTTTGCCTTATTTTCTTATTTCTAATATTTTATTTTGCTAATATCATAAACACCTTTGTATGATGCTCTAATAATCCTTTTTCCAGTGAAATGGAAGATGAGTTTCTCATTGCATGAAATGGATAGCCCATTTCCTAAGATAGCGCTTCTTTATTTTTTGTCAATTATTCTTTTCATGTAGCAAACATTCCTGACTTTGGACTCATGGTGAGGGCAGAGTTTTTTCCAGTAAAGAAGAAAATACAAATCTCAAAGCAAAACAGACTTTGTTTTCTTTGGGTACTCACACAAGCTCGAAGGACATTCCCAAGAAACTGGTGTGGTCATGAGAGAAGGCGGTGGTCTTGGGAGACCTCCGGGGTGCTCAGTTGTGTGCTGACTCTGCCAGTTTCTTTTCAACTAATGGTTTTTTTTTTTTTTTTTTTTTAAGATTTTATTTATTAGAGAGAGAGGGAGCACGAGCAGGGGGAGGGACAAAGGGAGAGGCCGAAGCAGGCTCCCCTCTGAGCAGGGAACCCAGTGCGGGGGCTGGATCCCAGGACTCTGGGATCATGACCTGAGCCAAAGGCAGACGCTTAACAACTGAGCCATCCAGGCACCGGCAGCTACGGTTTATTAAGAACTTGGGGCACCTGGGTAGCTCAGTGGGTTAAAGCCTCTGCTTTCCGCTCAGGTCGTGATCTCAGGGTCTTGGAATCGAGCCCCACATCGGGCTCTCTGCTCAGCAGGGAGCCTGCTTCCCCCTCTTTCTCTGACTGCTTCTCTGCCTACTTGTGATCTCTCTGTCAAATAAATAAATAAAATCTTTAAAAAAAAAAAAAAAAAAAAGAACTTACTCTGTGCCTGGCTGTGTTTCACAGGATTGAACCTGATCTGCTCCTCGAGTGGCGCTGTGAGATAGGTGCAGCTTCTCTCCCGTTCCGTGTGATGAACCCCGGGTAGGGACTTGCCCTGCTCTTCTTCTTAGCTGTGTGACCGTGACCAGGCCCACGCCTCTGAGATGGAGCCCGTGGAATCAATTCCACATTAAAAGCATTCTTAGCAGCAGGATCTTTCGCCTGTGAATATCGTGACCGGTTACTGCCCTTCCGGAATGCACAGCCCCTTCCTAAGCCGTGTTTTTCATCAACAGGTGGTCAAGAGGGAGGACATCCAGCAGTTTTTCGAAGAATTCCAGTCCAAGAAGAGGAGACGAGTGGACGGCATGCAGTATTACTGTAGCTAGAGCGGAGGCCGCCGCGGAGGCCACTTATGGTGCCCGGAATAAAAGAGGCGTATCTCACACCTGGTCCTGTCTCGGCCTCGCGCTCTCTCCCCTCCCTAAGCACAGCAGCCACAGCGTGGGTGCCGATCACCCGGCCGGCCCCCTCCGCCTCCGCCCAGCGAGGCTCGGCGCGCAAACCGCAGGCCCACCACCCGACCACCGAGTAACCCCCAGGTTATTTGCTTCTGAGTTTTAAGGAGTTTGATTTGGTTTTGAGAAAGTAAACTGGTTTCTTTGCTAATGATATTTTCTTTAACTCCTGAACGTATCTCCCCTGCCGCAGAGCTGTTGTCTCCAGGGACCTGCTCTGCGGGGCACGGCAGGAGCCTTCTTCCGGTCTGCCAGAGCCCCACTAGGTCCCTCACCGCTCTGATCGTGGTGCCTTGGGTCAGCGCTTCCTCAGGCCCGGTCTCCTCTCCCCCATCCCTGCGTTCTCTGGCGTGCTCACTGCAGAGAGGCGTCCCAAAACTTGCTTCAGGCCGGGCCGAGGGCCGATGGTTTTCTGGGCTGGATGTTGTCGCAGGCAGGGAGGTGGGCTGAGGCCAGGATCGAGGAAGCCAACCTTCGTTACGATCTTTACTAATAAATTTCACGTGAAAATTTCGTTCATGATTCTCTTGGCACTAGAATATTAGCATTTCCGTACTGTAGTGCTCACAGGGCTTCCTGGAGAAAACTCGCCAGTGTACTAGTCCCTTTTCTGCTGCCTAGAAAACAGACCGGGTACTACCCTGTGAAATCTTGGTGGTTTACAGAGTCCTCTGGATTTCTTTATATTATCAGGGATATTCATAAGCATATAGTAAAAACGGACCTATTTTGATATTATTCTGTTATGGAAATGTTCTTAGAACCCCAGTAAATTATTATTTTTCCCCTAAAATCTGTGTTGAAGAGAAAAGATACTGGTTTAGCTTCCTTGTAGTAAGCAGGGCAGTGAGTATCCTGTTTTGGAAGAGGCAAACGTGTGTGAGAGATTCCCACCTAGGCCCTAGGCTGCACGAATGATGAGCTTTATGTAAATAAAAGTTAACGTCCACAGCTGGTTCTCTAATGACCATGAGATCTTCTTTTGAAGAACCTTCTGGACAGTTGTATAAAACCCCATATTTGAGGGGAAGTCCTTTTGGTTGGTATGAAAGCGCTTTATGGCCCTGAGTCCATGTGGAAAACACCTTTGATAAACACAGAGCCTCGGTTGCTCTCCCTCGGGAGCGACATGGTCTCTGCTGACAAGAGGTGACACACTTTAAGGTATGTGACTCTAAGCCTCAGAGGCTTCGGGGCCACAAGGGAGCATTGATTTCCTTCTGTGTGTCCAGCCATGGCCAATACCAGTCCCTGGATGAGATGAACTCAGCCTAGAGAACATCGGGGCCTCAAAGCAATGGTCCAACCCCTGGTTTTCTGCCTCAAGACTCCTAATTCCAGATCCCCATGAGGAGTGGTGTGTGGAGCTCAGGGAGCCTGTGGCCACGGGACATGCTTGTGTGCCCTGCGCTGTTCTTGTAGAGAGGCTAGGTTGCCAGGCTCGGGGCATCTCTGAGATGGTGGACAGCTGGGGACCCTCATCTGAGTCTGAGGACTTGCACCTGTCCCATGCAGGCTCGCGCCTGGACGCTGCAGTGGCCAGCAGGGTCTCCGCCTGCCCGGCGTCGGCTCTGTTGGCCACGAGGTTCCTGGCCCCCCAGGACTGCCACGGAGGCCACGTGTTCCCGGCCGGCACAAAGTACACTCCTCCCGGGGCTGAAGGGCTCCTCCAGAAAGGTACTGACCCTTCTTTTACATTAACCAGAAAACCTCTTTTTTTAAACCTATGTTCACAACTAGTTTTCTTACTGACCGCGACGGACTGTCTCTTCTTGTGGAGACGGATTTTGGCCAGCGTGTGGCAGTTAACATAAATGCATGTTTTATGCAAGACAAGAATGTGGTATTAGTTGCTTTTAAGGAACTCTGGCATTGTATGTGCGTTTTTGTAGAATTGTTACTGGACTTAAAATGACATACTTCGATCAGGTTTCTGTAAAGTTTAAATAAAACCGGTTCAACAAAATAATGGCGTTACAGGTGGTTCTTAGTCCTATTTAAATGTGCCCTCCCCTGCGGTTATAAGGGAAATGAACGGAGTGTGAATCTAGCAGCCATTCCCGCCCTAGCTGGCGTCCTGCTCAGGCAGAGGGACTGGGAAATTTCTCTCCTGCTGTTCTAGATGTGGCCTGAGCTGAGGTCTGCCAGCAGGGGCCCCCGCTGGCTTTAGAACCCCTCCTGTGAGGGGTGTCCCTGATTCCTGTTGGGGCCTCAATGAGCAGGAGGACGAAGGAAAGGGCTTGGGTTGTGACCGAAGGCAGTGTGTTCAGGGACTGCTCCGTGTGGAAGGAGAGAGGCCAGGAGCCCATAGTCTGGGGCAAAGTTGAGGTCCGCCCACACTGTAGCTCTCATTTCAAAGGTAAACATGAAAACAAACCCAAAAGCCAACGCAGAGGCCCATCTTTGGCCTCATCCCAGCTCTTGCTGCTGTGGGAATTATCCAGACTCGTGGTCATCAGCATGGCGAGCTGAGCTCAGGTGAATGAAATGCTGTCTATGAATAGACCCGAAGCTGCTCACGGGTCTGCAAACTCAGGGTTACATAATCCACAGTGCCCAGAAAGCGGCAGCTCCCCCAGCTCCCGGATGAAAGGACCCTACTAGGGCGGGAGGAAATTGACAGCAATCCAAGGACTGAAGGACCTTGACGGTGACCTATTTCTGCTCCCCAGTGAAGAAGAGTGTGGTCTGGGGAATGTGGGAAGTACGAGGAGCCAACCCAGTTCCCAGAGGCCAGTGAGGCCGTCTCCCAGTCAGGTCGCCTTGTAGTGGCTGCTGGAGGCAAGCCTTGGCCTGAGGAGGCACGTAGCACTTGGCACTGGGCCAAAGCCAGATGTACCCTTCTTGCCCCCCTGAACCACTGGGCGTCAGATAGTGTGTGTCCCCTGCTTATAATTACGGGATTCCTCGGTCAGAAGGAACCTGAGAAATCACCCAGCCTCCCCTTCTGTCAGGACGGGAGCTCCTCCCTCACGGCTGGTCCTCACAGGCGCCCCGTGCCGGTCTTGGCCAGTGGGTTCCCCCGTCTCCGTGCTGCTGGGGGCAGTGCCCCAACTTTCAGTTCGCTCTCTGCCCTGCCCCTTCCCTGCCACGTGATTTGAGGGGCACTGACCCCACCGCTCCCAGCTGCTGGCCTTATCTTGTGAGCACTGGAAGGGTCAGCCTTTGGAGGGGTCAACACTGTGGAAGGCAAAGAGAAGAGAAAGATTCAGTGATCCAGACATGGAGCCACGGGATTAAGCCTTGCCCGAAGCTTGTGCAACTAGTAGACTTTTCTGCAGCAGAGAACACTTCGGTGGTTCCCTTGAAGGGACAGAATGCTCCCTGCCCCCCATGGCACTCAACCCCTTTCTCCCAGTCCTTGATGTATTTTCCTGAACAAAAAGCCTAGCTGTTGCTTCTCGACTTTTCCATTGGCCTCCCATCCACATCTTTGGTCTTCTCTCAGGGATTCCTCCATCTGGAATGAGAGAGATGTTCGTGGCGCTCTTGGGCACCTGGCCGAACAGCCCTGCCCTGATGCCCCCACCTGGAGACTCCCAGCTGGGCTTCTCCTCAGCCATCTTTCCTCCTTTGTGGGGCCCATGGCTCCTTCGACTCTGTTTGCCCTCCTAGCATCTCCGCCTCCTGGCTTCCCTCTCTTGCCTCTGCCTCGGGCCTGAAGGCTCCTCAATGCAGCTCACCTGCAGCCAGATTGAAAAGTTGTGTCCCTGTGTTAGGGTCCTCTGGAGAAACAGGACCAATGGCACATAGACACACATCTGTATGGAGACACACACGTGCATACATATGACATCTGTTACCCCGTGTGTACCATAGGCGTTGTCCCCCACAGTAACAGAGGCTGAGCAGTCCTGCGATCTGCTGTCAGCTGCAGGCCCCGGAAAGCTGACGGTGCAGTTCCAGTCCACGCCCGAACAGCCGAGAAGGAGGGGAGCCCGTGATGCCACCAGCCGCCAAGGCCCGACGGACTCGCCCAGTTCAGGAGAAGATCCGGGTGCCAGCTGGGACGGCCGGGCGGAGAGTCCGTGATTCCTTCCTCTGCCTTTTTGTTCTCTTCAGGAGGTCAGCAGGTGGGACGGTGCCGGGACCCCCCCCCCGCGGAAGGCCACCTGCCAGACTGCCACCTCCATTCTCGTGCTAACCGCCTCAGGAAGCGGCCTCACACTTGGAGAGCACGGAGGCCAGGCGCCTGGACGCCCCACAGCCAAGTTGACACAAAATTAACCCTCCTAACAACCAACCCTCTAGCTGGTCTCACTCTACCCCATGCCCTTTTGTGGAGCAAGGGAGGCCTCTGGGGTCTGCAGGGTCCTGGGAGCTCGTACCCTGGGATGAGCAGTGGCCTGGCCTGCCTACTGTCCTGCTCTCTCTGGCCCCAGGGCATAACACGTCCCACTGTGGGAGGCCCGCGGGGGGCCCCCGGTGGGGGTGGGCAAGTCATGTCCAGTGTGTGGGGAAGGGTTCTCTCGGCTTCCCCAGGAGAGCAACCCCCCGCAAGTCCACCATTTTGTATCCAGCTCTGGGCCTGGAGCTATTAGTAAAATGGCAGCAACTGGGAAAATAGGGAGCTACTTTGGAATGACAGATGCGCCTTTTCCACAGGTTTATTTACAAAAACTGTGGAGTCACAAGTCACTCATTTCATCCCCTAGGTTGAGGGGGCCCCTCCCTTGGCAACCTCTCAGTGGCAGAAAGGGAGACCCGAGACGCTATTCACTATTTCACGTTGTCCTGGCCTTAGCTGGGGACAGCAGTCATCTAGTTGGGAATTTATTTGTTTCGGATCTGCCCTCCTCGCTAAACCATAAATCCTGTGAGTCAGGAACTGTCTTCCCAGCTCATTAATAAAATGCTGGAGCCTGACTCAACGCCTGGCCCAGGGCAGGAGCTCCATCGTGCCACAGGTGGACAGGGTGTGCTCGCTAGTGTCCAGCAGCACTGAGCACGGCCGTGAGCTGGAAGCTTCTGTGAACGTGATCGCACTTCACTCTCACAGTGACCCTGAGAATATGAGTGTGTCCCCTCCCTGTTCTGAGATGTAGGAACTGAGGCTCTGAGATGCAGATGGTCCATGGCTGGCCCAGGTGACTCAGGATCAAAGGCAGCCTCATGGTCGGTGAGAAAACAAGGTAGAGGAGCAGAGACAAGCCCAAGGTCACTCAGGAGCGAGGCAGGACCCTGGGCCCCTTTCTATGGATTTGATTCAGTGAGTTTTTGTGTTTTTTGTTTTGTTTTGTTTTGTTTTAAGATTCTATTTACTTATTTCAGAGAGAGAGCACAAGCAGGGGGACGGGGAGAGGGACAAGCAGATTCTCTGCTGAGCAGGGAGCCCAATGTGGGGCTCGATCCCCAGACCCTGGGATCATGACCTGAGCTGAAGGCAGACGCTTCACTGACTGAGCCACGCAGGTGCCCCTGGTGAGTTTTATTAATAGAGGAAGCTGAGTCCATGACATAATCAGGGTGAAAGCACTTTGAACATGAAAATGGGGCAGGCGCCTGGGTGGCCCAGTCAGTTGGATGTTCGACTCCTGATTTCAGCTCAGGTCATGATCTCAGGGTGGTGAGATCGAGCCCCACGTTGGGCTCAGTGCAGAGTCTGCTTGAGATCCTCTCCCTCTGACCCCCACCCCTCTTTCCTTATCCCTCTCCCCCCACCCCTGGTTCGTTCTCTCATTCTCTCTCTAAAAAAGGAAGGAAGGAAAGAAGGAAGAGTAAATGTCCCCATCCCCCGGCCCCCAAGTATTCACCACTTTGTCCCCAGCTCCTGACCCGGCATGCAGGGGTGCACAGTGAGTGTTCCTGAGTGAGTACCACACAGAGCAACGCAGCGCCTACCTGGTCCTCCCCTCTCCGTGGGCGGCAGTTTTTGTCACCTCCTGCCCTTGGAACTTTGCAGCCCACAGCTGCACAGAATCTAGGGGACCGTGTTTCCACAGCTGGGCACTCTGCACCCTGAGTGTGTCTGCACTGATGAGCGGCCCTGGGGCTCCTAGTGGGGGAGCAGAAGGGACCCCTGGGAGGCAGGGCGGAAGTGCGTGTCAACACCACCAGCCTAGTCCTTGGGGGGCCCGGGGGCGGCTGCCTGAGCTGGCTGGAGCTTGTGGGGTGTGGGGGTGGGGACACGGGATCGGTCCAAGCCCAGGGTGTCCACCCTCAGAGACTCGGGAGTCCTGGTGGGAGATGGTGGGCATCGGGCCTCCATGTCACCCAGTGGCCAGGGCTTTGGAGTGGGCCAGAGTGTGGGAGGGACCGAGAGTCCTGAGGGGGCACAGGGTAGGTTTGGGGGGAACAGGGAGGAGCTGCATTGGGTGGGCGTCAGAGAGGAGGTGGGCCCGAGGTCCAGGGGTCAAGGTGGGGGCGGGGGGTTGCCCTGGGAGTCATCAGCCTGCTTAGCCACGGAAGTCATGGTCGTGAGTGAGCTCTTGCCCTGGAGGGATGTGAAGAGAGAGGAGACAGGACGCCAGGGAATGCCAAGGTTGAAAGGAAGAGCCAAGAACCGGGAAGCCAAGAGGCCGCCAGGGCGGTGGGAGGGGGTCCTGGAGCTGTGGCGCAGAAGCTAGGCGTGTCGTGGGGTCAATGTGGCCAAGCCACATAGGATGAGAAGTGTCTGTTGAGATCCGGACAAGCTCTAAGCCAACTAAGGAAAGAGACAAAGAGGTAAGTAGGGGGATTTTGCCTCACCCTAATCCCCTCGTTCCTCATAAAGCTGACTTGGGTAACGTGGCTTTTTCTGGGGGGTCATGGGCTCCTAACCCTGAACTCCAGGAGTGGCCAGACTTAGCTGCTGGCAGGGAGCCAGCTGCAGGACAAACAAGTGGGGCTCCTGCTGCTCGGCTTTCCTCACCAGCAGAGGACATTCGAGAGTTTCTGACCTCTTCGAGTAGCTGGTTCCCGAGAAAGAGGAAGGAGAGGAGAGGCGGGCCCGTAGGCAGAGTCCCGCCTGCCTGTTCCCTAAC